GCAGCCCGATTCATAACCACTATGCTACCAGAGCTCCTTAACAATAATGGAGTCGCTATGAATTGGAATAGACTCCAGTGGCAGTGAGTGATTCTCCCCAAGTCTTACCTAAGGCAAGGAAAAGTTCTCCAGGTTCTTGTAGATTGGGTTGGGTGTTCAGATCTCACACCTTTGGAGTTGGTAATTTCTGGGTGACCACTGACTTGTGTGTACCCCTCTTAACATTTGCAACCCAGAATGGAGTCATCTTTCTACCAAGGCAGAATAATTGGCCTTATTAAGAAAGATTAAGGAAATGATAATGTCGTCTGAGGTGTACTTAACAAGAATAGTAATATGATCACTGTTGAAGCAGGCCTGTGAGTACATAGTGGACGGGAGGGGCTCAGGATGTCATTCTCTCCACTTTGGTATGTCTTTGAAAATACTTGTAATAACTTTGTAAAATTATCCTTGAAAATATAAAGGGGAAACGTCTTGTTTCTATAAAATGATGGTGCATTTAGACAGGGAATTCTGCATGCAACCATGTTCCTGCCCCTCCATTTGTGTGAATTTTGCTGAAAGAGACAAAACAAACGCAGTAGGAGAAGAAAGGATGGAAACACTTAAGATTGAAAACACTTGTTGTTCAGTGGGACCTGGAAAGTGTTGAGGTGCAGTGGAGCAAAAGCAAAGTGAGAAAAAAATGGGTAAGAATTCTTCATCAAGTCCTGCAGTTTTTCATTGATTCTTCATCGAACCCGGGAAAGCAGGCCACCTTGACTGGGTTCTGAAAGTGATAACTAAACCTTTGGTTTCTAGATGCCAGCGTTGGGCCCCGTGTCCATAATGTGCACTGGGGTCTCACTAGGTGATGGGCCTGGGGATACAGAGAATCCTTTGTCAGGCTGGATCCTCTGGGTGGCTTTCCCCAGGTGCCGTCGGCTGCCAGTTCTATGAGGATCCCAACGCCATCAGCTGGGCTAACCTTCCTTGAAGGTGAGGGAGGTTGGGGCTCCGCCGTCCCTAACGCCACCTCAAATTCCCTTGCACACCCACTGCTATCGACTGATTCAGACTCAGAGCGAGCTTATAGGGCAGGGTAGACCGCTCCATAGGGTTTCTGAGACTAAAGCTCTACGTAAACAGCCTGCCTCATCTTTCTCCCAAGCCTTAACACTGTGCCACCGGGATGCCTTAGAGCCAGTGATCCCAAAACCACTGGAGATTCCAACCCAGTATGGGGTTTCCTAGGTTGTAATTCTTTAGTCCTGTGCGGCGCGGCTGGTGGGTTTGAACCGCCGACCTTGTGGTTAAATAGTCCACTGCTTTGCCCACAGCGCCACACCAAGACTCGTCACATCCGTGAAGACCTCCCAAAAGCCTAGATGGGCCGGGGAAAGAATGCTCGTGACGCACTTCCGGTCGGGCCCGCCCGAGGTGCGCCTGTGCCCCGGCGGTGAGCGGCTCTGGGCTCCGGTGAGCTCTCGGGTCCCGGGCGGCGCGGGGGAGGGGCGGAGGAGCGAGCTTCCGAGGAGGTGTCTTCCGCGGCCCGGGCCGCCTGGGGGCTCCGGGGGTGGACCGCCTGTCCCTGCCCGCGATGGTGGAGGCGCTGGCTCCTGCCGTCCTGCACCCCTCCCGCCACTTTGGGGTTTCTTTGTGCGCTCACGGAGCAAAGCCATCGTCCGGCTTTCTCTGCGGTCGGAGCTGATAGGGACGCGCCCGGGGGTGGGGAATACCCCAGACAGTCCTGGGTAATGTCAGGTCCAGAATGAAAATAGACTCGTAGTTTTTCCGGTTAGAAAGTATGCACATAACAAAGATATAGTCAAGTTTGCAAACACAGCCTTACAGAAAGGTGACCTGGTGAATGCGGTGCCAGGAAATCCATGTTGTGTAAAAAACTATGGAATGAACTGGATATAAACTGGAGGAGGAAAGAATGAGGAGGCAGGCAGTCGTTTTCAAGTACTGGGAGGCTGCTATCGGCCCCGTTAGCATCAGGTGCAAGTAAAGTGATGCAGAACATGATTTCGTTTAAGGAAGACTTTATAACGATTAGAACTAGCCAACAGTAGTGCTTTGCGCCTCAAGAATCCTTGAGTTTGCTTATCTAGGAGTTTTCAGGTACAGACTTAGTGAGAGCTATGTTAAAGCATTGGTTGGCCAGGCTCCTTCAATTATTTAATTCTACAATAATTTGATTTACTTATTCTTCATCTTATTCAGGACTCCAGGTGTGGCGCTGTAAGATAAGCACTGGACTTCAAACCACAAGGTCAGTAGTTCAAACCCACCAGCTGCTCCTCAGAGAGGGTCACTCTGATGGATAAGCCAGAACTGACTCACCGGCACTTAGCAACAACAACATATTCAAGAATGAATTTTGAGCATCTTTCTTAGGGCAAACAGATTTGGAAGCTAGCCATATGGAAGAATAAAAACTGAGAACAGAGCAAAGACCTGCATATGTAGATTAGGAACTTTTGCTTAATGGGCTTTCTGAACTAAAATTTCTAGATTGCTCTACAGAATAGTTAATGTGAGTTAATAAGGAAGGCTCCATTTTCTATCCACATGCTTTTTTACTTTGTGAACACTTTATTAAACAAAATACAGAAACGAAGACTTGAAGAGCATCTCTAAAAGAACCTTTATGCAAACTATCACCTTATTGTATACTGTTGTTGTTGTTATGTGCTGTAGAGTCAGGTTCAACCCATAGCGACCCTGTATAGGGTTTCCGAGGAGCAGCTGGTGAGCTTGAATCGCCAACCTTGCAGTTCAAATGGCTTTGCAGTCTGGCGCATTAACCCACAGCACCACACTAGGACTCCTGTTGTTAGATACTGTCAAATCAGTTCCAACTCATGCGACCCTATGCACAACAGAATGAAATACTGCCCAGTTCTGTGCCATCCTCAAAATTGATGCTGCCACTGTGTCTGTGTCTCGTTGGGGTCTTCACTTTATCAAGCATAATGTCCGTCTCCAGAAACTGGTCCCTGTTGACAACATCTTCAAAGTTTTAAAGACAAAGTCTTGCCATCTGCCTCTAGGGAACATTCTGGCTGTGGTGGTGGTAGTTATGTGCTGTGGAGTCAGTTCCAACTCATAGAGACCCTATACAGGATTTCCGAGGCTGTAAATCTTTACAGGAGCAGAAAGCCTCATCTTTCTCCCGCGAAACTGCTGGTAGTTTCGATCTGCTGACACTGAGATTACTAATCACTATGCTACTACTTCCTCCAATATAGATGTTTGGTCTTCGGGCAGCCCATAGTATCTTTAATATTCTTCTCCAATGCCATAACTCAAATGCAACAGTTCTACAGTCTACCTTCTTCATTGGCCAACTTTCACATGCATGGGGCATTATTGAACATCCATGGCTTGGGTCAGTGGCACCATAGTCCTCAAACATATCTTTGTTCTTGAACACTTTAAGAGGTCAGCAGATTTGCTTCTGCAGTATGGTGTTTGAGTTCTTGACTGCCACTTAACATGAATGTTGATTGTGGATCCACGTAAGTAGAATGATGGAGTTGCCATTAGCTGAGAAGAGCAGCTCTATGTGAGTAGATAGGAAATTCTGTTATAGACTTAAGCTTGAAAGATCTTTGGGACCAGTAGGAGGCACTGTGAAGTGGATATGAGTCGGGAATTCAGACGAGCAGAGCCAGGTTGGAGATAGAGTGAGCAGTGGCTAGTGTGTTAAAATCTCAGGAGCTAAATTGAGATTCTAAAAGAGTTTTCAAAGCAAAGTGTAATTTTAAAATTATGCTACTGTGTATTTTTAAGAGAGTAAAATTAAAGTAGGATAGTAAAGCTGACTACAATTTAAACAATATATTTTGTGGTGGCCATATTTTCTACAATTTCTTGTGTTAATGGTGTGACCATACAAACTAGAAAAACGTAATTTTTCTTTTTGGTAATTTTATGGCAACCATACTTTCTTAGGTTTAATGTGTGTCCTTGAAGAACCAGAAAACTGTAGGATCCAATATCCCTGGTACACAGCTGTTCCCTGAGTCTGGGTGATGACCAAGGTACAGGGCATGGCCACAGGTCTGAGCCCTAGGTCTCCGCTGAAGCAGGTGGGACCTGTGACTGTAAAAGTCGAGGAGGAGGAGATGGACAAGTGCCTTCCTGGCCTGGAGATATTCCGCCAACGCTTCAGGCAGTTTGGGTACCATGACACACCTGGACCCCGAGAGGCCCTGAGCCAACTCTGGGTGCTCTGCTGTGAGTGGCTGAGGCCAGAGCTGCACACCAAGGAGCAGATCCTGGAGCTGCTGGTGCTCGAGCAGTTCCTCACCATCCTGCCCCGGGAGCTCCAGGCCTGGGTGCGGCAGCACTGCCCAGAAAGTGCTGAAGAGGCAGTAACTCTCCTGGAAGATCTGGAGCAAGAACTGGACGAACCACGACAAGAGGTAAGAAAGGGAAACTCTTAATTTTTCAAGGAGATTGGGAGCAAGAATTCCAGGCAAGAGCAAGAACAGCTGAATGGATGTTTCTGCTGAGTTAGATCATGTTTGCTTCTAGTTCTCTTCCACCCTAAGCTAATACTTTAGCCTTGGGAATTGAATGGGATGGGGGTTTTGCTTTTCTTTTCCTACAAGTTTCTACAGAGCTCTCCAAAAGTTGCAATTCTCGTTCTTAAAGTGAATTGTGTACAAACTCAGCCATTCCTAATTGTCTCTAGGTCGCCACTTCCCCAGTTGGACGGAAACAGCTGTGGGAAAAGAGGCCCTCTGCAGGAGCAGCCGAAGACTACCTGAGCAGCACACAGCTGGTAAAGACCAGGCTTAAGCGTGAATCCTGGGAGTCTCTACATAGCCAAGAAATCAGCCAGCGGCAGGAGTCCACCCAGTACCTGAGAAAGATCCCAGGTAGGTGCTGTCTGTCAGGCCCCTGCTTGTACCCTGGGCCTGTGTGGTTGAAGAAGCGGAAGAACTCATCATTCCTGGTGTGAGGTGCCCTCCTCTCCTCGCTTGGGTGCCTCTGTCTCAGTCAGAGTCCGAGCATGGAAACAGAAGCCACACTCTTAAAGGGGCAGTTGAAGTGTAGTTAATGAGGGAGTGTTTACTGTTCATGGAAAGAGGCAGACCTTTTTCACAAGTCAAGGTTATTTTCGGGGAACTGTACTTCCCAGCTTGAATCTCCACAAACCATAGTTTATGTGACTGTCTCAGAAGCCGTAAGTGAGTATGCCCTTTGCTGTTTTGCATTAGTGACTCTAATCTGATATGCCTTTATTTACCAGGTAGTTTCAAATCAAGGCTTTGTTTAAATATTAAGTGAAGTTGTTGTTAAGTGTCATCGAATTGACTCCAACTCATAGTGACCCTGAATAGGGTTTCTGTGGAGTGTCTAGTGGGTTTGAACCACCGACCCTAAGGTTAGCAGTCCAGTGCTTATACTGCAGCACCACACCAGGACTCCTTAGATGGAGTTGTTGTTGTTAAGTGCTACTGAGTCGATTCCAACTCATAGCAACCCTAGATAAGGTTTCCAAGGAGCGGCTGGTGAGTTTGAACCTCTGACCTTTTAGTTCAAACCAACCTTGCAGTCCAATGCTTATCCTGCAGTGCCACCCCAGGACTCCAGATGGAGCATAGCAGATGTGTCTGCTATGATTTCACGGATAATGCAGAGGGCCCTCAGAAATCCTTCTTCCTACGGGCTTTGTTTTAGTTGTTAGGTGCTGTCAGGGTGATTCTGACTCATAGTGACCCCGTGTACAACCAACCAAAATGCTGCCCAGGTCCGCCCCCCTGTGTTGGAGCTCACTGTGTCCGTCTATCTCACTGAGGGTCTTGCTCTTTTTCAGTGACCCTTTACTTTGCCAAGCATGGTGTCCTCCACGGACTGGTCCCACCTGATCACTTGTCCCAAATATGTGACTTTACGTCTCGCCAGCCTCGCTTTTAAGGAGCAATACTTCTTACAAGAGAGATTTGTTCATTTTTCTGGCAGTCCATGGTATATTTAATATGAAAGGTGCCAGTTCTGTTTCAGTCTTCCTTATTCATTGTCCAGCGTTTGCCTGCATTTGAAGTGATGACTATACCATGGCTTAGGGCACACACACTCTTGTCCTCAAAATAACAGCTGTGCTTTTCGATACTTTAAAGGTCTTTTGCAGCACATTTGCCCAATGTAATACCTTGTTTGATTTCTTAACTGTTGCTTCTATGAATGTTTTTTGTGAATCCAAGTAAAATGAAATCCTTGAAACGTTATTTTCTCCATTTTTCGTGATGTTGCTGTGGGTCCAATTGTGAGGAGTTTTGTTTTCTTTGTGATGAGGTATAATCCATACTGAATGCTGTACTGATCTTCATCAGTAAGTTCTTCAAGTTCTCTTTGCTTTCAGCAAGCAAGGTTGTATCATCTGCATATCGCAGGTTGTTAATGAGTCTTCCTTCAGTTCTGATGCCACGTTTTTCTTCATATAACTCAGCTTATCAAATGATTTGCTCAGCATACACATTAAATAAATAATGGTGAAAGGCTACAATCCACATCTTTTCTGACTTTAAACCCCATCGTCTGTTTGAACTACTGCCTCTTGGTCTGTGTACAGGTTCTTGGTCTGTGTACAGGTTCCACATGAGCACAATAAAGTGTTCTGGAATTCCCATCTTCCCAGTGTGATCCATAGTTTATGATTCCCATAATCCAATGCCTTTGCATAGTCAGTAAAGCACAAGTAAATATCTTTCTGGTATTCTCTGGTTTCATTCAAGATCCATCTGGTGTCAGCAGTGATATCCTCATTCTGTGTCCTCTTGTGAATCGGACTTGAATGTTTGGCAGCTTCTTGTTGATATCCTGCTAAGACAGGTGATAGAAAAGTGTCACGACTGCAAAAACCGTGTGAAACCTGTTCAAACAAGGCAGTCACACTGAGTGCTGGCTCTCACAAGTTTCGCTGTATTTAAGCAAGAAAGAGAGAAGCCCACCAGCAGAGGGTTTATTGGTCTCCTTGAGCTTTGAGGGCAATAGAAGACCAGGAGTCCAGCTTTCACAGTGGTGAAACAGCCAACTGCTAACCAAAAGGTCAGCAGTTGGAACCCACCAGGAGAAAGATGTGGCAGTCTGCTTCCCTGTGAGTTGGGAATGTTGTATTAAAGTGCTTAGTGTGGGAATGCCACTGTATATTGCAATCCAGTGGCACAGCTATTATTGTACAATCCATGCAGCACATTCCAATCAAACTGAATAACAAAATGATCTACACCTCCGCTGTGCACAACACTCCAAGTCCATGTTTGTCTTCTTATTTGGACAGGATGGCTATGTACTAGTAATGACCAATGAGATAAAATGACACCGCTGTGACTGTAGTGGGCGGCACAGCAGTGTGAGGCTGTGTGAGCACCAGAGTACAGGCAGCCACTCGGCTCTGCTGACGTAGCGCAAAGCCAGCAGAGCCCATATGTGAGTGCATGCGCACAGCCCAGTGTGATTGATATTAATGCATGGGCACTAACTTAAACTTGAACTTTGTGGAACTTTTAAATGCCAATATTACTCTTTTTGATTTTTGCAGCCATTTTAAAATATAAAAATCATTCTTAGCTTGGAGACCTTACAAAAACATTTGGCCTAAAGAACTATGGTTTCTTCAACTCCCCCCTCACCCCCAGCTCAGTGTAAAGCCTTACACCAAGGACAGAAATCAAGAAGGAGAAGATTTTGTAAAATTTTAACTACATTAAAAGAAAAACCACAAATAAAACCAAAAGATAAACTATAAATTGAGAAATATTTATAACTCTGTGTCAGGCAAAAAAGGTAATGTTATCCTAATATGAAAGAGGGAGTTCTGGCATGGCACTCTAGGATGGGCACTGGACTGCAAGCCGCAAGGTAGGTGGTTCAAGGCCATCAGCCACTCCTCAGAAACCTATACCGAGTCACTATGAGTTAGAACCCACTCAATGGCACTTAACCACAACAGCACAGATAAGAAATCAAACAACATGTATTGCCATTAGGCAAATATGTTGCAAAGACCTCTGACTTCTTTAAAGTGTTTAAAAAGCAAAGATGTCAGTTTGAGAACTAGGGTTCACCTGACCCAAGCCATGGTATTTTCAGTGGTCTCATATGCCTGTGAAAGTTGGACAATGTTTAGGAAGACCGTAGGATTGATGCATTTGAGTTAAGCTGTTGGAGAGAATATTGCAAGTACCATGGACTGCCAGAAGAACAAACAAAACTGTGTCGGGAGAAGTACAAACAGAATGTTCCTCTGAATCCAGCATGGGGAGACTTTATCTCTCATATTTTGGACATGTTGTCAGGAGGGACCAGTCCCTGGAGAAGGACATCAGCCTCGGTACAGTGGAGGGTTAGTGAAAAAGAGGAAGTCCCCCAGTGAGAAGGACTGGCTCAGTGGAAACAACAATGGGCTCAAGCTTAACAATTGTGAGGCTAGCGCAGGACCGGGCAGTGCTTTGGGCATAGGATCGCTCTAGGTCGGAACCAACCGGAAGGCGCCTAACAACAATCGCAGCAGGTAAGAAGAAACAGACTACCATATTTTCAACCAAAATACATGCTCATTGTATGATGTTTTACAAACCCTGCAGCCAGCCCTTCCTGCATTCCCTTCCTGTGCGCTCCGTATGCAGTATAGACGTACACACTGTATTTATGTGGGCATGACACATACACATTCAAATAATGAACACCTGGTGGAAAAGTGGAAAGAGACGTGAAACGACAATCTACAAAATAAATATGATTTAAAAAAATACAAATGTCATAACTGTGTCAACTACTCTAGTATGCTTTAGCATGTTGCTTGAGATTTTTATAAGCATTATCATTTTTTAAAGCAAAAAAAGTTTTAAAACTTATTAAAATGTTTCTAAGTTTTCTGTACCCCTGAACAGATAAAGCGAGAAGGAGCTACACAGCGTGTCTCCTCAGTGCCTCAGCTGTTGCATACACGCAGCTCTGGTACAGACAGCAGAACACTGTGCGGCTCCAGCAGACACCACCCTCCAGTTCTGGCTTTGTCTCTTTGTGGGCATTTGAATGGGACAACATAAAGGGGACTGCTTGTATGGATGTCATGTTGGCATGGAAGTCTGGGATTTGATTAGGACCTTAATTGGTGCCATTAAGCATCTTATAAATACTTTTGATACTAGGGATTTTGAGTTGCTTTTTAACTTATTTTTTGTGTTTGTTTTAAACAGTTATTCGTAGATACAGAAGGGATAGATATCTTTTGAAATACAACTGTTGCTTAAAATAGTTTTGCTCTTGGTAGGATTCCATACTTCTTAAGATGTGAAGTGTTTCTAAAGATATTTGGTATAGGTGTTACCTTACCGGACCAGTGGTATATAAGCCAGTTTTGTTTTGTTTCTAATTCTGAATCAATTCAGCAATGAGCAACATTAAGGAGCCCTGGTGGCATAGTGCGTTATGTGTTGGAACCCTAACTGCAAGGGCAGCAGTTCAGATCCACCCGCTGCGCCACAGGAGAAAGATGAGGCTTACTGCTCCTGTGTAGATATCTAACCTTGGAAATCTTTACAGGGTCACTATGAGTTGGAACCGACTTGACGGCCCACAACCCCCAACGCCCTGGAAACCTCTGGAGTAATTCTGCTCTGTCTTAATAGCGCTGCTGTGAGTAGGAGCAAACTTGATGGCAGTGGGTTTGGACGTCAGTACAAGGAAGAGCAGCAAACACAACGATTGTAATTTATGTGCCAACCACAAATGCCAAAGATGGGAATGAAAGACTTTGATGACTTACTGCAGTCTGAAATTGATTGGACATCCAATCAAGATTCATTGGTAATTACTAATAGTGAGAATGTGAAAGTTGGAAATAAAAGAAGAATGAGTATTTGGAAAATAT